ATCAAGGTTTTTTTTGCATATAGATACTCAAGTGTCCTATCTATCACTATTTATTGTAAAGACTACTGTTTTTCCCCTAAATTGTCTTTGTATTTTGTTTCCAAAATAAATGGGCTGTGTATACGTGAATCTCTTTCTACAATCTTTATTCAGTTCTCTTGATCTATTGGTCTGCACTAGAAGTCAGAGAAAGGCCAAAATGTTACTAAATGAGTGGGAAACTGATGAAATACAGTTCAGATTTTAAGAAGAGAGAGATCATAATGAATTTGATCAGGTGGTTTGTATTGGGGTGGCAATCTGTAAAGGATTTATGAGACAGGCAGCATCCCAGATACACCTAGTAACTAAACATGATTCAGACAGTTAAAGCCAGTAGGTACATGGGAGTAAAGCATTTCAGGAAATGAGAAGAGCTTGAATTAGGAATATTTGAGAATATTTGGAGAACAGTGATTAAATCAGATAGTTTGGAAATTAGAGCGTGTGTAAAAGATGTAATGGGGAATGCATGCATTTCAACACCTGACCACATTGTTTTCAGATGCTATGCCACTCCCCAAAATTGCAAATACTTTGAAGACAGGTTTTGTGATGCACACACAAGTGCCCATGCATTAAATGTGTATGTATATGTATGTGTGTATATATTGTTATCTATGTTTACATCTGTATCTATGCATTCTTTTCAAAGTCACAAGTCCAGTAACATGCCAAACAATTTAAAAAAAAAACTGAAATGATTTTTAAGCACTTTTTGGTAATGTTGTTTGCTTACGAATGTCTATGTGGTTTGTCTATGTGGTTTGATGGAACAACTATTGACTATTGTTTGTTTATCAGCGGGTCTCCAGCCACAGATTAAAAGAACAAACCACCGCCATCAAGTTGATTCCTACTGATCGTGACCCTATAGGACAGAGTAGAACTTCCCTCATCTTTCTCCTGCAGAGCGGTTTATTGGTTCAAACCACCTGCCTTTTGGTTCCCAGTCCAATGCTTTAATCACTGGGCCACCAGAACTCCTAGCCACAGCCAGAAGCCAGTCATGGTAAAACATCAAATGCATGCAATTAAGTGGTGGGAATCAGAAGAACATATGCAGGTCTGGTACGAAGGGAACTATATTCCACTTGGGAGCTCTGGTGGCTTATTGCCTAAGGCATTTGACTGCTAACCAGAAGTTAGCAATTCAAACCCACTAGCCACTCCTTGGAAAGAAGACTGGACAATCTAATTCTGTAGAGATACTGCCTCAGAAACCCAAGGAGGAGTCACTATGAGTCAAATCGATTTGACAGCAGTGAGGTTTTGTTATTATTATTATTTTTTTTGGTATTTTCCGCTCAGCTTGCCCACTCTGATTGATGAAAGATACCAAATTATTACTAAAACATTTTTACTACATTAAGGGAATGGGTGTATTTTATGCACCTGACTCTCTGATTTCTTCTTTAGCTTTGAGAATTTACATATAAGCTGGCTTAGGATTTAGGTAAATAGGGTATAGTTATCTCCCTAAAAATAAATACAAATAAAAATACAATATAAATAAAATAAAAATAAGTATCTTCTTTAAAAATAAAAGTTAGTACACACATATATGCAGCAAAACCTTAATGCTTTAGAACCCACCAATTTAAAATGTATGATCATTTGCAAATGATTCATGAAAACGTCAAGGTTTGTATTATCTATGAAAGTGAAATAATAAACTAAATAAGACTGTGGGAGGTTATGTTTAGGCTGTTTACAGAAGCAAATGCAGAATTGAGACAGTAAGCACATAAACTTACATGATTAACCTGTGGTTCTAAATAGAAATCATCTTTTTAAAGTAAAAAGGTTTTTTTTTTTTTAAGGTAAACAGTAATGTATAGCCATTAAAGAAAATTTGGTAAATATAGGCAAAGGAGAAAAAAAGTTCTAGTAATCCAAAAAAATTTCTTATCTTTTGACTTGACCTAGTCTAGGAGTAGAGGTGGTGGTGGTATGGTGGGTAAGGATAGGAGAAGGTTATGATTTGACCAAGCTATAACCATATTTTATTAGAATTTCTATGTACAGTAGTTCTTGGGTTATGAACATCCAACTTGTGGACAACTTGTACTTGCCCTTTAATATTATGTAAATTTATCCTTGTTTTCAAATGATGGAACCAAACCCTACTCACAACGAATTCTTCATCACAGTCACCTTCATTTGCTGCACTTGCTGCATATACAGCTTTTTAATCACACAGAAGGTTTGGCCTTTTCTTGCCACTAAAGGCTAAATGAGAACCATATGCACCTGTTCCAAATTACCTACAATTACAACTTGAAGACACACTTTGAACAGATTCCATTCATCACTCAGGACTGCCTGTATTGCAGGCTCATTGGTGTCACAAGTTGAATTGGGTGATCTGATGAGATGATTGCCTTGGGAATGACTGCAGGCTGTCATGAGTTAGGAAGTGCAGTTTCCTAAAGGAGTCCTCCTGACATTTTATATGAAGATTTCTCCATTTGTGAATTCTTTGTTTTGATTCATTTTTTATTCCTTTGAATTATCAGTTAGGATTAGGTTCAGCTGAATATAAATCTCAAAATAATAGTGGTTTAAATACAACAGTTTTTAATCTCTGAAATGAAACTTGTTCAGAGCTGTAGGCAATTTTGGTGACGTGGTTTCACAACATAGGGTCAGGCCACTTCTGTCTTCTCTGCCATCTTAGTGCTTGGGTTCCTTAGGTCACTTCATGATCCTACTTGGCTGCTGGACTTCAGACTTTTTTCACTGCATTCCAGGCAGTAAGGAATGGGCAAGGGATAAAAGAGCCCAATCTTCCTTCCATGGAGTGGCTAGTGGGTTTGAACCTCCAGCCTTTTGGTTAGCAGTCAAATGCCTTAGGCACTACACCACCAGAGCTCCCTCCAGTTGAGTTGTTGTGTTGTTGTTTTGCCATCGAGTCGGCCCCGACTCATAGCGACCCCTCCTTGGGTTTCCGAGGCAGTATCACTACGGAAGTAGGATTGCCCAACCTTCCTTCCGAGAAGTGGCTGGTGGGTTTGAACCGCCAGCTGTCTGGTTAGCAGGCAAGTGTCTTAGCCACTATGCTACCAGAGCTCCAGTTGAGTAGTCTCCTTCAAAAAAATTTTTTCCAACCCCCTCCACTTACATCACTTTGGCCAGAATTCAGTTACATAACAATACTTAGCTTCAAGAGAGCTTGTAAAATGTAGTGTTTTAGCTGGAAAAATTGCTAACACAAATAGAATGAGGTTTTAGTTATTCAGAAAGAAGGGAAGACAGTCATCTGAATTACTCCTTAAGACACATAAATTCTTAATATTTTGTTTTTAAACCACATTATGCAATCAAGTAAAACCAAGTTGTACTTAAGTAATTTTCTCAAGAAGGATACATAGATGATATATTTTCAAGCTATTGCTTAGAACTCTTTCTCTCACACATAAAAGAAAATTTGACTATAAAGTTCTTGGGTCTTAAGCATTAATTAAAAAAAATATGAAAACACTGTACACATTGCTCCATTGTCATCACATTGTTTTCGGACAAGCCTCAAAGCCAGCCTTATTTTTTCCCCTAAATAAACTGTTCTAGTTGTCATTTTACTTTGCTTTGTAATAATAAGACTTGTTTATACATCATATTTATTTTGTGAGGTTGTAGTCTACTAATATTTTGTCATACAAAAGTGAATGGTACAAAAAGTAATTGTTTGTTTTTTCCTAAAGAAAAATGAAGTCTTCATGTGAATGGAAGGATGTCAAATATCCTTGCTGACATTCAATTCTTATCTTTATACCCTAAACCTCAGCACTGGAAATCATCTAGACAATTGCCAAAAAAACCTGCTCAGCTGTCCCTAAAATAGTATCTAAATGTAGATGCAGTCTATTCTCTCTTTTTAATATCTTTGCCCAGGAATGGAATTAAGCTCTACCTGATAACTTAGGAAAATGGATAAATTATCTTCATGTTGTTTATAGTTTGTAGAAAGTTAGAAATATGTGCTCTTTTCATCTCTAGTTAGTATAGGGAAGTATCTTCAGAAACACCGTTTTTAATTTAATGCAGAGTAATTTCTAAAAGTGTTACAAACTCATTGAGGCAATTTGTACTTCACTGTATTGTGTTTGCCGAGTCGGCCCTGACTCATAGCGACCCCTCCTTGGGTTTCCGAGGCAGTATCACTACGGAAGTAGGATTGCCCAACCTAGATATCTATTATCCCAAACCTTAGTGGCTTAGAACAGTAACATTAATTACATCACAGTTTCTTTGAGTCAGGAATCCAAATATGTCTCAGCTGAGCCCTCTACATCAAATTTCCTCAAAGGCTTGGAACACATCATCCTCCACCAAAAACAAAATAATACATATGTACACATATTGTTTACAGACTTGTCTCAAGTGAAAAACCACTGCAGGGAAAACAATAAGTGGACATCTTTTTTTATCAATCTTATATTTTCTTGGAACTTTTGCCTTAAATTTTTGTTTTTGTCACAATTTTCAATTGACAATAGCTCCTTTGAAGTGGCATTCAAAGGAATATCTTTTAAATATTCCTCTGTGCCAACTATGAATAAGTCAAAAGGCCAGGGGATAAATCTTAAAACTAGAAATATGATTTGATGAAAATCTCTATATTGTCTTGAACTTTCAGAAAGACAATCTTTGAAATATAGTATGTAAACTGGCAACCCACAACCCTAATATTAATGAGAGGGGAATATAATTGACTATAGTTGATTAATTGATAATAATTGATCTTAAATATATCAGAAGAGATCTCTGAAAATATTTATTTTTGATGCCTCAGAAATAGATGTTAAAACGTTTGCTCAATTTGTCTATTTAATGTAATATTTTCCATATAATTCTATTAAATCTTTATTTTTCTCTTGTCTTCTACTTTTCTGAAATAGACTAAGATGCCTAGTGAAGCAGCTGGAAAAAGGAGACGTTAACATCGTGCACTTAAAGAAGAATATTGAATATGCAGCCTCTGTGTTGGAAGCGGTTTATATCGATGAAACAAGGTAAGTTTTAGCTTTTCATTCCTTTTGCCTTCAGTGCCTCTCTCCTCCTTTATTTGTCTTTGGCCAATCTTCTTTATTCAATACACGAATTTAGCATATGTAACCATTTAGACCAAAAATCAAAATCTTACTGAAATTTGAAAGATTCTTCTTAATTGACTACTTAACTGGACTATGATTTTAAAAAAATATATATATACACATTTTAATGAAAATGCTTGAACATAATAAAAAATAGTCAAATAAGTATAGTCACAAAACATAAAAAAATGAAAAAGTCTCCCTCTCACCCTTATTGTCCTTAAACCCAGATTTTAATATTTTTTTTCAGAAACATATATAAACTTAGAGTGATTTTTTCTGATGTAAGAGTTTTTCCTATTATCTCAGACTTCAGAGTTCTTTCTGAGAAAATGAGAATTACATGTCCACACATACTTGTGACAGGTCTGAGACCCTCTGTGTTGGGCTTGCTAAATGGCAGTCTCAAAGTATTATTGACGATCATCCAAATACAGCCTCAAAATATAATTAGCAGAGTGGTAAGGGAGATAGGAAATGATAATTTATTTCTAGAAGTTATTAGCCAAGAGGGCAATTTAGTCCTCCAGTGGACAGACATTTGGCAATATTTGAAGATATTTTGGATTGTTACAATTGTAATGTATGCTACTGGCACGTAGTGAGTAAGAAGCTTGGGGTGCTGCTAAACATCCTACAATGCAGAGGACAGCCCCTCACTTCGAGGAATTAGTCAGCCACAATATCAGTAGTGCAAAGGTTAAGAAACCCTGGCCTGGCAGGAGAACTCTGCATTTCTTTTTTCTCTCCAGCAAGGTACTTACCCACAACCCCATGCCATGGGTGTGAACTATGCAGTCCTTGGAACTAAGACTCAGCAGTCTCTCTGTGTGAGCAAGACTCAGTCCTTGGAAGCATGTTCAGCAGAGCATGGTGTGACAGTTCTTGTCAGTTGTAGACTTGACTGGGAAGTATCTCTTGGAGTTATGGGGAGCACTTGGACTGGTTCCTGATACTCACCTGAAAAAAAAGACTAATTAGAACTACCTGTGAATTCAGAGGGAAGAAAGAACCAGTGGAGAGAGAAGCATTTCCAGGGCTTGGCATTTGTCAGAGTCGTAAGGCAGCCAGACTAGAGGTCTTTTGAAGGAATCTACCAAGAATACTGCCTTATGAGAGTGAAAAAAGAAGCCACAGGGGTGATAGTTGATATGAGTCAGGGTAGGAGTAGTAATAATTCATCCAGCATATTGGAGAACATATAATGTTGGAGGCACCCTATTGGTATAGCAAATTATCTCTCAAGGACCCACAACAGCTCCTCAGGATCCACAAAAGCCAACATTTGGACATCTGCCACACAGATGACAGCAAAGTCACATCACTCTAGTAAAACCTTGTGGTCCCTATAATCTCCTGCTGGCTCCCCCCCACATTGCTGGAATAATGAGCAGAAGGACAGGGAGTGGAACATGTAGAGTGAAGACATCCACCATACCCCTTTCCCTCTGCAGGTGTCCAGGCCTGGGTCACACCTGAGTTTAAGGAAGATAAGAAATGTTAAACTAGGTGTGAGGCTGAAGTTTTGATATCAATGTATACTGAACTTGATAAATAAACACACACATACACACAAGCACATACCAGGTAATAAAATTAATGGCTAATAAACTCTCAGGGAGCTCTGGTAGCATAGTGCCTAAGGTACTTGACTGCTAACCAGGAGGCTGGCGGTTCAAACCCACCAGCCACTCCTTGGAAGGAAGATGGGGCAGTCTACTTCCATAGTGATACTGCCTTGGAAACCCAAGGAGGGGTCGCTATGAGTCGGGTCCAACTCCACGGCAAACAACAACAACAACAATAAACTCTCATGGTTCAAAAATGAAAATACTATGAAAAATTGCTTCTGGAAAGTCTTGCTTCCACCACTGTCCCAATCTACCCCACTCCCCCAACTCATACTTGTCTTATGTATCTTTCCAGGGCTTTATTACAACTTTTTATTTCTTATTTTTCTCTCCTTCCTTAATAGAAACAAGCATAATGTATTCATGGTTTATTCATTTTGCTTCTGCTCCCACTAAATAATGAAACTTAACATTCTTTCTATATCATGTACTGAACTTTGTAATATTGCATAATGAGAAATTTTATTAATAACTGATAGAAAGAGCCATGGTAAGGGCTGTGCTACATCTGTGATTCTGTCTTTGTTCCCAAAACAGAACTTCTCTGCTAAAGCACGTTTTGAAGTTATAAATTAGGAAAAGACATAGGAAACCTTTTAGATTATAAACTCTACCCAGAATTGTTTTCCTGGTTAACATTCACCAAAAAATAAACCATGTGCCATCTAGTAGATTCTAACTTTTAGCAATCCTATAGGACAGAGTAGAACTGCCCCATAGGATTTTTAAGACTGTAAATCTTTATAGAAGCAGACTGCCATATCTTTCTCCCCCGGAGTGATTGGTGAGGTCGAACTGCTGACTTTTGGGTCAGCAGGCAAGCATTTTAATCACTGAACACCAGAATGCCTTTGAATGTCTATAAAACTATATAATTCTGTTAAGTGAATAGAGATCCAAAGAATCTATTTTTAAAAAATCTAATGTTCCTATAAGTTGTCTGCTCTTTCATTTTCATGCATTTTTATTCACAAGTTAACTAAACTTCTTAACATGTTTAAGATTTCTTCAATTTACCCTTAATTAGTTTATTATTAGGTATTTATTTATAAAATGTAAGCACTTTTACATTTAAAAATTAAATCTTCCATCTTATAGTGCTGTTTTTCTTGTTTCTCATCTTTTATTTGGTAGACTATCGTATATTTAGGAGCTCTGGAGCATAGTGCCTAAGGCACTTGACTGCTAACCAGAAGGCTGGCAGTTCAAACCCACCAGCCACTCCTCTGAAGGAAGGTTGGGCAATCCTACTTCTGGAGTGATACTGCCTTGGAAACCCAAGGAGGGGTCGCTGTGAGTCGGGGCTGACTCAACAGCACCTAACAGCAACAACAACATCATATATTTATTAAATCTTCTGTCATATTTCCTCATCCTGAAAGTTATGAGTCCATAGATCTCTGCTAGCATAGTTACCTGTGATCCCTAACTGATTTAAACATATGTTACATTTCAAAGTTTATTTTCTTTTCATTTGGCAATTGTTCTTTTATGGCGAAAAAAATCAGCACAATATTTAACTACTTCATGGTAGAAATTTTTTTTAATCTTGTGCTTTGCACCTGAACCCCAGCTCTCATCTCTACCTTTTCCTAAATCACACTAAACTTTTCACTTTTTTAATTTTAAGGCTTCCATGACATCATGATTTTTAAATTGGATTAATGTACCACATCTGTATAGTTGTCAAAGGCCTTTTAGTAGCATAGGTAGGATTTGAATTTAGCAGAAGAAACATCTGTTCTGCAACTGTGAGGAGGAGAAAAGAATGAGTATAGAGATTTGACAGTTGATATGGATATAGAGAGTATAGTGCTTATACCTAGTAGTTTCAAGCTTCTACCAAGTAGGAGGCAAAGTAGTCTGATAATGAATTGACTCCTCAAAAACTATGTGTTACCTTGACTGGGCACGATTCTCAGTGATTTGGCAGTTATGTAATGATATAATCCCCCATGGTGTGATCTGATGTAAGCAGGCAATCAATTGTTGAGGGATTAGGGTAGGATGCAATATACTTACTTACCATGATGCAATGTAAGGGGAGTTTCCCTGGGGTATGGCTTTTTGTCTTACAAGATAAAGCAGAGCAGGGACCTGACTACCATCAAGAAAGAAGAGCCAAGAGTGAAGCACGTCCTTTGGACCCAAAGTCCCTGTAGTGACAATCTCCTAAACCCAGGGGAAGATTGATGTGAAGACACATGGATATCTCTAAGGGATGCCAGACCTACAGATGTTGAAAGAAGACAAAGATCTCCCCCAGAGCTAACACAGAGAAAGTCCCTAGAGCTGGTGTCCTGACTTTGGACTTCTAACCTCCTACAATTTTGAGAGAGAAAAAATTGTTTGTTATAAAAACAAAACAAAAAAATCCTTTCAGTTTCATTATTTCTTATTAGTCTCACTGCAGTTGTATGCAGTTGTTAAGGTAATTACTACTTTCTTCATTTTATTAACGAGGGAACTAAAGCTCTTAAAAGTGAAATGGTTTGCTAAAGGTCACAGGCAAGGCTGGGGCTAGAGACTAAGCTACGGCTCCTCCTGCTTTGGTTCTCTGCTCTCTATACCTAGATGCTCTCATAGCATTGCCACAAAGTAGGATAGCTTTTAATGACCTGGAGAAGACTTAACTAACAATGTAGAAAGTATTTTAATATTTGTAAGCATAAATTCTGGAAAAAACTAGCTAAAACTCTGGAGGGCCAACTATGTGCCAAGAACTCTTCTAAGCATTTTACATGTACTTTTACATTTATCACAGCAACTCTGTGACATAGATACCTTATTCTCACCATTTCACTTTTGAGGAAACGAGTCACAGAAGTGTTACAGAGCTTACCCAAGGTAACACAGAAACTATGTCAAAGAGCAGAATTGGAGCCTGGCAGTCAGACTCTGGGGTTAGGCTGGAATAAAACATGATTCCCTCTGCTTTTCTTATGTAACGTCTGACCAAAAGTTACTTGTGAAGACTGGAAGTTAATGAAAGCCATATGTTATCAGGGTCATCAGACCCAGTGGTGTGTTGATTTTGTTGTGTCTCTTCCCAACTCCACTTTCACTGACGTTGCATTGGCATCCTGAAATTGGCTATGGTAGGAGTGTTTACCCTATGAAATCCCCAAATGCTACAGATTAGGTTTTGTTTATTCCTAGAGAGACTTCGTTAAACATTTATCAACACAACACTGGCTAGACTGCCTGTTAGATATCTTCTAAGAACTGTGATTTTATGATCAAAATTTCAGCTGAATAAATTTTAGAGCATTAATACTTGACAAGGAG